AGGCGGACCCGCAGTCGCTTAAAGAAATATCCATCGCGAACAGAGTAGAACAAGCGATGAAACTTCAATTCCGCTTACTATCCTAAGGTCAGTGTTAGATCAAGCATTGCGGCACGTCGTGAAGCCGATATGACGTGGACAAACACAAACACACCGGATTATTTGTCGAATCTCTATGTAACAAATCCGGAGAAGAAGAGGAAGAAACGATCTGATAGGTTGTTAAATGAACTCTTCTCTTGAGCAGTAGAATTGTTCAGTCTGTAGAACGACACATCCAGAACCGAGATGTCCCAGGTTAGAACACTGATCGGCGACTTGGCTCTCTTCCCTTTAAAGTTGATAAACAATTATCACTCTGTTGAAAGGAAAAAGCAGATCACAGATTATGCCTTCAACATAAATATATTCCACTCTTTCTTAAAAATAGGCACTCATGGCTGACTGAATGGAGGTGGAGATCGGCGCCACACCATTAACTCAGAGTAAAGAATGGCACCAGAAGTGGCTTCATAAAAGTGTAAGAAAACCGACGTTCCAAAAGTGCAAACTTCCTTCTATTTCCTGTTCGTTTGACACGATTTTCATCACATATCGGTGCATCGGCTAAATGATGAGATTGCAAAATTAGGTAACGATATGCTTACAAATGTTCTTGATCTCATTATTTTCGAAAGTGCCTAAATACTTTAAAACGTTGTAATTGCTTTCCAATTGATCATTCAGGGAGTTCTAAGTACTGGTTTTTATCAGTCTACAAAAAATAGTTTACACAGACATTTTTATATTTAACTATTTATATTGCAACCGGTTACGGATTGATATCAAACAGGGAGCAAAGTCTGGTCAAAAGGCTTTACTGATAGGCACAACGGACATACATGCAATAACTGCCTCCACAAGATATCATAATTGCCATATCTACATAACAGTTTATTTGTAAACGTTAATTGGTCCTTTTATGTCTTATTTTAATTGATTTTTATTCATTTCTGGGAGCCAATCCTCATTTATCAATTGGCTGTACTTCCAGTGAAAGCTACGAATGTGTCTTGTTAGTGCGAAGGGCGAGCGCTCCTTTTTTTATTTGGCCCACATTTCCAATCTTTCGTGGAAGGCAAGAGTTCCTATTTTATTCGCCTTACATCTGAGGTGGAGTGCTCGGCGCCGAGTCCAAATGTCTCCGCTTCGTTAAAGTCGGTCGTCGCTGACCTTGTAATATAGTTTAGATCGGATTCAGGGAATGTGCAATCACTACCAAATCCAGAGCAACCTCTGCAGCCATCATCAATTTCAAGGCAGTGAAGCACCGATTGGCAGAGTCAGAGCTAGAATAAGAATCCTCTCGTGTTTTACTATGACGAGCTCTTTTATGGCTAAAGATTTTCCTTTTGAATTTCGAATGGTTGTTATCAACGTACCGTTGTCAGAGCATGATGGTGAGTTTATGAAGTAGATACTAGTATAAATGGCATACACTGATCAACCGTTTAATCACTTACCCGAATGAGCCATGCTGGATGGTTTTTGTTTATTTGAAGCAGACTAATTCCAAAACTGTTCTTTCCACAGCTTGCTTGCGCGCGTACGATGCTGCTTGTGATCTACTGCATGAAGTTGCTCTGTAGCATTCTGCGCTTAATAATAGCACAGCCTTTTTCGACTGTCGTCCTAAGCAAAGTCATGCCTCTAATAATGCTATTCTTCGGTAGTTCAAAGGTTTCGCCAGCACGAGTAATTTATCCGATATAGCATTGTTGCATTATCACATTTTTTGCAACGATGCCGTTTTTTGTATAGGAGTCCTCCAACTTTGTTTGGATTTAATTAATTTTTTGTTCTTTGTCAGTTGCAGATCTGCATAGGATGCAGTCTCGCAATGTCTGTTTCCCTCACGCTTCACACATTGACGTGAGTCATCAGTTTTGCAGGGGATAACTGAGTTGTCTGCTGAAATGTCCCCCACTTATACGTTTTATGCCGCTATCGCATCTGGATTTTATTTCCAATCTCATATTCTGATCTAGCAACCCATTAGAAACAAAGAAAGTGTTTCATGAGATTCCATGATTATGAAGAATCAACTAAAGTTGATTATCAACATAATTTCAATGAATCTCCTTGTTTGACGACGTTGCAGCTCACGAGTGTGTGGCGTGTTTACAAAGTGTCTAAATGATTTGCTTCGAATTCTGGAGGGCCGGGTTCGATTCCGCTCGAGGAAAATTTGTCTTACTCATGAATTCCTTGTAGCAAGGAATTCACCATGTATTGCTTCAGCAGATGCTTAGGTTACACCGAGTACAGAGAGATTTCGAGTTTAAGGTCGGAGCCATTTTACCTATTTCCTTGCGACAATGATAAATGAGTTCCTGTGAGAAGAAAGTCATTAAGATTTAGATTAAGTCTTAATGACTTATTACATTTAGTCGTTAAGATTGACATTAAAATGACTTAAGACATTCTTAGATGATAGAATGGAAACAGAGGTCTGAACTACCCCGTCAACTTAATGTAAAATGCGCTAAAATGATGCAATCATGAATGTAAAAGAAGAACGACATTCCAACGGTGATAACTTTCCTTCTTCTTTAGATTTCGGAGGTTGTAAGGAAAAGTAATATATAGATAAAACAGTTTGGTAGTAACCCGCAGGTTCAAATATAACTTGATTATATTTGCGGGTGTTGCCTACCTGTGTAAGCAGTTTTTGTGTTGTATAGCGTTCCGAATTTCGGATCTTGTGAAGGTTGGAGGCGTTTCGCAAATGTCTGATGAGGAAGAGTTTGACGAAGTTGGAGAAGTTGGCGCCTATCAACAGGTTCTTCCCGTTGGAGCACGTGCCGAAAAATCGCTTGGCTTACTGACGCAAAAGTTCTTAAAAGTTCTTCAGGAAGCGAAGGATGGCGTTGTGGACTTGAATATTGTAAGTTCTTGAGTTACTGCTTGTGCACATTTCTGTAAATAATAAAATTTCCCAATGCTAATGCATCTAATATGAAATATTTTGGTGATCGAATGCTACGACTTTGTTATAGTCCCTGTGTGGATTCGGTATATTGGGTTTGTCAAGTGATATTTTACCTTCAGTTTCGAGCATTGCTTAAAGTTTCCACAGTATACATCGAAATAACCAAAATTTTGTTCTCACTTTTTCTTACACATTGTCCGCTTAAGATGAATCTAGCTTGATTCTGTGCGTTGGGATTTTGTTTAACAAAATTTGTGGCGTAAATTTTGTGAAGATTTTGGCCGTGGAAATACATTTAGTTTTGTTCTTTTTGATGATTGTTATTATCACCTTATTGTTGTTATGGTTTATTTTCTTTTTTCATCAGCATCATTCTCGTCATCATCGCGAATGACAACATGGGCACGGTTCATTTGAACACATGAAAGAATTGATAGTATGGATTATACAATCTGCCGCGGATTATAAGATCTTAGCCGTGTCTATGCTCAATTTCCGTATGATTACGAATGCGGGAATAAACACTCTATTTTTGGACAGAGTGAACCATGCGAACCTGTTGACTTCATGTGAATAATCGAAGAACTGAAATGCTTTATAATATTGTTACAGATGTGAGTTATTATTTTCTAATTTGTACTTTTAGGCAGCCGATCGCCTGAACGTGAAACAGAAACGAAGAATCTATGACATTACAAATGTCCTCGAAGGAGTTGGCTTGATCGAGAAGAAGTCGAAAAATAGCGTTCAGTGGAAGTAAGCCTGTGAAATTCTCATCTTCTATCATATGTTTGATCTACTGTTTAAGTATTCGCTGCTAATTTTCTTTTTTGATCATTTAAGAATATTTTTTAGGTTATGCTTTCCTGTTTTTTGACATTTTTTAAGAGTAAAAGTTAAAATATAGATTATGAGGATCAATATTGGAAGCATATATTTATGCTTCAACGTAGTTTGGTTTTATACGGGAACTCCGTAAAATTTAAAGTCGTACATAAAGAGTCTGGCATCTAGTTTTGGTCGAATCTGCATCAGTAGATGCACATTTCTAGAAAAAACAGGATCTGAACAAATTGAGGGCTTTATTCGAGGTACTCTTTGTCGCTTTATGAAACTATCGCGTATTGCTGGTGATTCATCGTACCCCCGTTATGTCCAATTATTATTTTCCAGAAAATTTTGCAATCTGCATATAAAACAGTAGCTGATTATGATTCGGAAGTCTGACCAGACTCTGTCTTCATCTTTTCTTTGACTTTTTCCTGTCTATTAAAATTTGCTCTGATCAAAATTCACACGTTTGTACACTAGAATCTAAAATGATGTATTGTTTTTAGTGATATATTTGTAATGTCTATTGCTTTCATCTTTATTTACGTTGACCAAATAAAGAAGTAGGTAGTGTATTCGCCACAGAATTTAAGCTCTTTTTCAACACATCCAGTGAATAGAAAACAGGTAAAAAATAAAAACATTTCTACTCTAGGAGAGTAAATTTTTCAAAAGTAAAGGCGGAAAAAAATTTAGCTTTATACAAGTTTTAGTCGATCACAATTTGTAACTTGTACATGAGGCCAGAATTACACCCTTCCCTTAGTCACTGTTATTCTCTCTGAGTCTGAGAGCTAGTTGTGCACGCTTTTGTGATCGTTAAATTGCTTAGTTGTGTGAGTATATCCATGTCCGTAAGGTAGCCTCAACTCTGTGTTATCTGTAACAATGTAATTTCATACTAGCCCAACTGTGATGGAGGACTACGCCGATCATAAGGGATATCCCTCATGCAATCAGGAATAGGTTCTTTTCAGACGCATTTAAAATTTTCTCATATCTAGTATAGAAAGTTTAAAGTTTGCACTCCTTAGATCAAAGTTTAAATGACAATAACAGCTACAGTTTCTCCATGTTCATCCTTTAAATCATTTTAAGATTAGGCTAGAGCAGCCGTCGATGAATAGGAACAAAAAAGAGACACTATCGAAAAAAAATTGAACATTATCACGAGAAATACTTGAGACTACCGACAAAATGTCCAATTTATGAAAATTGTTTAGAAACTGCTTTACACGCGATTTTCTCCAACTGTTCCTTTCTCAGTCAAGGCTTGGAACTGACCACATTCGTTTAAGCAACAAACTGAATATTCTTATTCAGTGAAACCTTTGAATATTCTTATTCTGATAGCCTCTTTGTTATTAAAAATTACTGTCGTTTTCTGTCGATCACATACTAGCTTTTTTCTTTGGTCTATCTACTGTTAAGAATGTGATACTACATGTTGGCTCTGATGTGGATATCCTTGATACCGTCATTATATCACCTTATTGTCTTGGTTTTGTGAGTCTTTAAACGTAGGATAATTTTCCATAAATACTTTATTGAGCAAAGGGTAAATGTGTTTGTATGGGACATTATTCAGTTTTGATTGTTTAAATCTCTTTGCGGCTGTTGTCTGCATTGTACAAGTTTCGCAGAAGCTTTCGTGTCTGTGCGAATTTCGCTTGTTGATATTAGGTTGAGAATTGATAATTACAAGACTTATTTTTTGGTATAATGAGTAACAAAAGCTATACGTACAAAATATCAATGCGTCACTCAAGGGCAAACCTATTTTTGCAAAATTTTTTTAGAACTTCAGTCAGAACTCACTGTCTTATTTTGACTAGCACCCTTTAAACTGTGCGTTGTCGCAATTCAGAGTAAACTTTCACCTGCCTGAACCCAAAATTCAGGCACCAGTGTCCAAAAAAAGACCCATAAAGCAGAAAAAATCTTTTATTTTTGTTAATAAATAGTCTTGTTCAGTTTATGACAGCAAACTTATAGCTCATATGTGCTGGAAATAATAACTTAAGCACTTCTTGTATACTTCTACTACAGGAATTGTATGTACTGACAACCGATTACTCTTAAGTACTTAGTTTTAATGAACTTTAGAAATGAAGGCTCGAATGTTCTTTAAGCATTTTTTGAACAGTTTGCTATTTCTTTCTTATTTGTTTTCTGTCTGATTCAAACCTTGATGATTTTGAACATTTTATTTAGCTCTTTCTTAATTTAAGGGGAGGCGCTGTTGGTAAACTGGGAGAACTCACTCCTGCCGCTGCTGAGAAACTGTTCAACTTGAAGTTAGAGCTGACCGAGTTGGAGAGAGAAGAACGAGCCTTGGAAAGTCATATTAAATGGCTGAAGCAAGTATGCAGTTAATGCAAGCGTTGTTTGTTCACTGTGCTTAAAAATTGACATATCATTAGTGTTTTTCAGTGATTACATATAGATTAATTTTTTACGCCGGTGATCAATGCATTGACTTTGAACAAATCTTCAAAGGAATGACGACGTGACATAAAAGGGTGCTCAATATCATTGCTTCAAAACTCTGCTGATATTCAGCATCATATGGTGCAAAAGTTTCGTTTTCTGTTTTTGTCATTTCGTCCATACGATCCATCAGTCATCACGTATTCAAAGATGGGCGAACACTTAAGAACATTTAACCTTATATTGGATGCAGTTAAGTCGCTTGAGAATCATGCACCAGGCTGAAGACAGTCGACATTTGGAAAGTGCGTTTCAGTGAAACTGGAGATTCCTATGATCAAATTACCTGTCCCAATTTAATTAGGTTCACTCTCACCATAACTCCGAAGGTGTTAGAAAGTGTCATAACGAATGTGTGAAATATGTGAATTCATTGTTCCCTGCCTTCATTAGATTCTACGCATCTTCAAGTATCTGCTGGAGGTGCATCTCATTCATTCTGTACTGAACGGCTCACACTTTCTTTTTCGATTCTTCTCCACCCATAGTTTTATTCTCCCTCATTTCTTTTACCCATTTCTTGTCTTTTTTCTTGTTTTTCCCTTATTTTTACCATCATCTTGCCTGTTATCCTTCGCATCCACTGTTTGAAATGGAATCTCAGACAACTTCTCAACCTTGCTTTAAACTGTTTTTCTGTATTTCGCGGAAAATTCATATTCATTTATTACTGCTTTATGAATTTTATGTTTTTCAGAGCTTTAAGAACGTCGTGGAATACCATGATAATCATCATTATGCGTACCTGAAGGACACTGACATTCGCAAAGCTTTTGGCGATGAGACATTGCTCGCCACCGTTGCAAACCCTGGAATGGAGATTAACGTTGCCCGTCCTTTCAGAGTAAGACAAATAAACGTGTCAGACAAAATATCTGATGGCCTTTTTCAGGTTCTTTTTTAATTTTTTGAAAGCTTTTAAAGAATTTTTCATCCTCTTGGGTTTCCATGAATAGCCTTCCTCATTATATTGCTTAATTTTATACGGTGTAAATTCAGAATCAGGAGGTTTTTACTATATCCAATATGCTGGGCTACAGTATGAAAGATTCTATCGTCACTGCAATAAAGGAGTGGTCGAGGTTTTCGAGTGCAGAGTGCTTAATTTCCTGTTCGGTAAGGTTAGGCCCAAATCCGTAAATGGCAATGTCCGTGATAAGTGCTTGTGATTATTATGCAAGGTGGTCACTTCAGCAGAGAAACCAAATTTCCAAAAATTTCCACGTCGTATCATGAGGGGAGTTACCAGTTCAGGCAACGAACGGTGAGTAGCAGTATAAAGGAAAATCTTGTTGGTACCTTGTCTACAGTTTTACAGTAAACTCTGTAGAGATGGTTGGCCAGCTTCAAACGGTAAAGCAATCAGCGATGTGTTGAACATGTTTGATTCTCTGTACGTTGTGAAAAGGATACAGCGATTTTAATAGTGTTAGTAATGCATCTATTCTGCTATAAATCTTTTAGCAGGAAGTTTCCTGTTTACAGCCAAACAAGGTTAATTTTAAATTTAGTTAAAGTTTGAAGTTAACCAAAGTCGAATTTCTTTCGGCGTGGTTAATTTGAACTTTGCGAAAGATTTTATTGTCCATTAACTAAGAATACAAATATAAATTATGATAAACCATTTCTCCCCCAAAAAACGGATTTCACGGCCCACTGTACCGCTTCTTGCTCCAATTTGCCTAGGGAGTCAGTTAGGCGGCCCCCGGCTCCATGGAATGAATCTCGCATTGTTTTGTTCTTTAAAGAGATGGGCAAGGTACTGATGCCAATTTATTCGTGTTTTGTCATGGCCCATGAAGTTCTGCCAGCCGCTGGCAAGGATGACGGTTGCAAGTCTCCTAGTTTTTTTCGGTTTTTTGTCGAAATTTTTTTAGCCTTTGACGAATCGACCTCTAGCCGAAACGAAACCGGTGAAATGTCGTACTTTTTCTTCAAAGGTTGAATCGCTTTTTTCTCGATGTCAGACTGTCATGCACTGTCACTGTTTTTCTCTGAGGATCGAACATGTCGAACTCGAACCCAGCAAGTTCTGGTGATCGGTCTTACCGCCGCTTGCCCGTAACTACAAATGTTTCTAAATTTATCTCCATATCTGTTGGTCCTTCCTCTATTCGCAACCCTATTAAATCCAGTTCTGCTAGGTTCTTTTCAGCGTTGACAACATTTCGCTTCTGTTGTTAAGTAAACAAGAAAACTGTTGCTCTTATTGCTGTTATAAGATTGTGCGCACTGTTGTGCAAAAATGTAGCACTGAGGATCAACGAAATCGTAAAGTTGTTATCATGCACTGTATTTTTTAAAAATTTTATGAAATACCAAACTGTCCATGTAGTAATCATGTTTTTTTCTGAACGAACGAGGCGAGCTGATGTATCAGATGCTGATCAGAAGCCACAGTCAGCCCATTGAAGTGTTCCTCATTAGTGGCGGTGAAGAGAAGAACGCGGGACAGGTACTGATGCAGAATGCGTTACATGTTGATCTGTTGCTTAGATATACTTGACAAACTCACAATGCCCCTTAGTTGCAGAAGTGTGATTGGAACCTGCTGCAACTAAATTTGTCTCATTCGTCTTTAGTTAATCATAAATATCTGTACAGTTGATGCTTGTGCTTTATTGCCCGGTTATTCGCTTTTTCTGTAGTGATGTAGCAGTGCAAATGCTGATCCGCTCTGCGACACAACACTAGTTAATAAGCTAACGCGGAACTTTGTGATGTTCAGCTTTGAACGTTAGTATTGCGTAATGAAATTTAGGAATATCGGTAAGTCCATATATGTAATAATAATGATATATGTAATAATGTGTATATATGTCGTTTTGTCACCACTTTGTTACGTATGAATATCATATGCATGAAGCTGAAAACCGTTTTATAGCTTGCGCGGAAGTCTGTAAATGAAGCGAGCATGAATGAGTTTTTAAGTAATAACTTACATTGATATTAGTCGTATATCATAAGCTGTTTTTACGCCCGAGTATGTGAAATAACGAACCACTTTTCCAAGACCAGAGTTTAGGATTCATTGTATATTGTTTAGGACATATTGGAAGTAGCAGCGTAATTCGCCGTGAAATTTGGTCTTG